CCATAATGATGTTTTAAATATACTTTTTTGCGCATTTTTCATTTTACAGATTTATTGGCGACGCCGGTGAGCGGCGTACGTCGTCTCTTATGGAATGCTTTTTATTTTGGCCTATGGAAAGGGCTGTTATTATTAGCAGTTAATTGTGTTAATTAGTTTTATTTTGATTCGTAAAAATCAACTAAACAAATATGTTGTTATATTTGTATTTAATAACTTTATGTAAAAACATGTGCATAGTGATATTAGCTTAACGAAATTGCAGGCTCAGTTTAACAGCTTGTTATTCTATTTCATACGTACAGCAAATTCGAACTTTATCGTGAGGCAGATACTAGTAGATCCTTTCTCAAGACTGAGAAACCTTAAAATCACAATTGGTTAATGAAATATGTGCATGTGCGTATAATAATAATAATAATAATAATAATAATAATAATAATAATAATAATAATAATAATAATAATAATAATAATAATAATAATAATAATGATGATGATGATGATGATGATGATGATGTACATTAAAGAAAAGTACGGTTTTTTGTTACAAGTTCGTCCTGCATGCCATCATTAGCACCATCAGGTTGATTTGCTTTTAAAAACCTAACAATAGATAAATGTTTCAGTTTCAAATTTGAGCATTAAATTCTAAATTATAACATACCTTTTCCCTGATCGTTAAAAGAATTAAATTGATTTCGGATGAGACACATTTCGTCTTACCACCGAGTACGACATGCACAGGTGCGTTATATTACACTTTAAGTCATCAGTAAAAACTGTTTATTATTCAGTTTTCACATATTTTAATATAAATCATTGTAGAATAAGTCTTTATACTCACGCAAAATTACCCATATTGTGTGCGGAAATATTTATGCCTCTATAATAGATATATTTGGCCCGCCATAATAATTCAGCTGTCATTTTAAACTGTTTTCTTTCAATTATGACTCTATTATACACGTTATTCAAATTCTACACCTTGATTTTATTTGATATGCTTCACAGTTACAAATATATACTAGCAATACCATGTCCTGTTTTATAGATTCTAAATTATTCTGTACAGATGATGGACCGATAATAAAAACTCATATAGAACTATGATAGCATCTGTCTTACGCAGTTTTTTGTTCAGTTCGGAAACAATGTTGACTTTTCGCAATTTCCATATAAAAGCCCTTCATCACGGGAAAAAATGCCCGTTAAAATGTTATCAATGTATTTTGTAAGCCTCGTGAATGTGAAATTATTACATAATTTAATTTTATTATATCGATGAGTATTTAAATCATATTAATACATTTAGCATTTTTTAATATTTAATATAAAATGATAAAATTGATAAATTGCGACACATTCTTTGGTACCAAATGCGATTTTTTTATGTTACCATTATTGAAATTAGGTGCACGAAAAAATAATTTCACGTGCACTTTTCGTAGATTTATGACCGTACCAAAAAGTGAATGATTTAAGAGCAATATACGTACATGTGACTTGTTTTTAAATTAAATTTCAAGATGAAAACTTTAGACGAAATTTGTCATTTTCCACCATGATTCATTCTTATTTCAACAAATTTGGGCATGTTTAACAACAATCGCAACTTTTCGGCCCTTTCCGGTAATTTTCGTATAAGGATATAATAGCCGAAGGTTAAAAGTTAACTGGTACACTACAGAAACACCACGACTTTATTTCACCCGCAAGACACCAATTCTTGTAAGTTTCAGGAACCGGACTCGACCCCAAATCCAAAAACTTGTTGCTCTGTCGAACATAAATAAATATGCGTAAACTTAAACTTGACTTATGTTTGCATATGACCAGTTCATCCAGATTTTATACTTAAACCATATGTACTACAGTAAAACCTGTTGCAAAGTCGGGCTCCATATGAAGATTCCATACTAAGTCAAACTAATATGTGCTCTGAAATACGATTTTCCAGCGAATGTTTAAAATTGTTACTTTTGCATACTTTAACGTAATTGTTTTTAAAACTTTAGTAATTATATACAGTAAAACTTCTATTGAGCTACATCCTTTTGGAGACCAATATTTTGGTTGTTGATGAGAGGTATTGCTCTACAGAGGTAACGTTTATTTTGAGGTCTTGCTTTGAGAAGAATTGTTAGTTTTCTTGTTAAAGGGAGACCACTGAGGTTCTTTTGACATGACGGGACAGGAAATATTTTTTTTCGAGATTAATACTCCATTTGATGTAGGTCTAGATCAATAACTTTAGTGCAAAAATTTCAGATCATTCGACCACTCCGTGTTTTCCGGGATAATTATTCTGACCAAAAATTGAAAAGCGTTGCAACGCTTTTCACACAAATCGGGCTAAAAATAGCACACACAAAAAAAAACGATCTTCAATTTATTTCTGAGTATATTTCTTAATTATCTTTACATATCTTTCTGTTTTAAGTGTCCAAGCTCATCTTTGTAAGAAATTCAAATTTTATTTTTTGTTAGACCTCAGTGGAGTCCCTTTAAGATTTAAATATTGCTCTGCAGATGTTCCACTTAATCTATGTATGTCTCTTAAAAATCCTTCTTTGAATATCCAAAATTCAACAAAGCTCATTTCTGACAATGTAATCAGCTAGAGTGATAAAGAAATGTAGTCTTATTCCTTCACGCCTATTAGTGTATACTGATAAACAAGATACGCACGAGTGGATTTCTTATAGCAGTTATACTCTCAGACGTTTTAAGTACTGAACGGTATATTAAAATATTTTAATAATTTCGCATTATTCTTAAAATGAAAGTATTAAACAAATATAAAGGTAAACTAAAATTAATGATAAGAAAGAGCGTTGAAAATTGAGTAAGCAAATTAAGATACTTGTTCGTGTATATCTTAAACAGATTCTAACGGGGTAGTAAAACATGTACCATACAGTACATCTCTGGCAATATCACACGTTTTCTTCCTATCAAAATATCTGGCAACATCTCATATTTTCTGACAATATCGCACTTTCTCTTGCAATGTCACACTTTCTTTGCCAATATCACACGTTTTTCGACAATACCACACGTTCTTTGATAATATAACACTTGCTCTGGCAATATCTCATGTTTTCTGACAATATCGCACTTTCTCTTGCAATATCACACGTTTTACAACTATACCGCACGTTATTTGACAATATCATACGTTTTCCGACTATAACGCATGTTCTCTGACATATAACACGTTTTCTGGCATTATTGCGCCTTCTCTTCTCACACGTTCTCTGGCAATATCACACGTTGTTCGACAATATCGCATTTTCTCTGAAATACCGCACATTCTGTTGTAATATCACTTGTTTTCTGAAATTATTACACATTGTCTGAAAATATCAATGGTTTTCTTACATCACAAGTTCTGGGAATATGTCAAAAGTTTACAAACAATATTACTTTTTCTCTGACAATATCACACTTTCTCGCTCTCTGACAATATCAAACGGTCTCCGGCATGTTCTCTCAAAATATTATAAATTCTCAGAAATAATTAAACATTGTCTTACACTATCACAGGTGAGATTCTAGTAAAATATCACACTTTCTCTGGCAATATCACATGCTCTCTGGCGATATCACACATTCTCTGACAATGTCAACAAATCACCGGCAATATCGTATGTTCTCTGGTAGTATCACAAATTCTCTGTAAATATCCAACTTTGACTGACAATTTCACACGCTGTTTGAAAATATCGAACTTTCTATGACAAATAACACAAATTTTCTGACAAAATCATTTGTTCTCTCAAAAAAGACGCATTTTCTGGCAAAAACCGCAGATGCTCTGACAATACCACACGCTCTCTGTTCTCTCACAATGCATCAGTTTATCTTACAAATTTACTCGTCCCGACGATATCATATTTTCTGTGACAATATGTTTTTGTGTTGTTGTTTTTTGGGTTTTACGTGACATCGATACAGTATAGGTCATATCGCGACGTTCCATCGAAGACCTCAGATGCCCTTCCGTGCATTATTTCAGGCACGAACGGGCACCTGAGTAGAACCACCGACGTTCCGTAAGCTAGCTGGATACCTTCCTCACATGAAAGAATCCAAAGTCCCTGTTGGGATTCGAACCCACAGCGGTGAGCGGCAAGTGCTTTGAAGTCAACGACCTTAACAACTCTGCCACGGACACCCCCTGTGGCAATATAACACGCTCTCTGGCAATATTACATATGTTTTGGCAATATCATACACGCTATTTCAATATCACACATGCTTTAGCAATATCACACATTATATGGCAATATCACACTTTCTCTGGCAATATTACACATTATGTGGTAATATCACACTTTATCTGGCAATATCACACATTATATTGCAATATCACTCATATGTCAATATCACCCATTCTCTGGCAATATCACACATTATATTGCAATATCACTCGTATGTTTATATCACCCTTTCTCTGGCAATATCACACAATATCACCCTTTCTCTGGCAATATCACTCATATGTCAATATCACCCTTTCTATGGCAATATCACACATTATGTGGCATTATCACTCTTTGTCTAGCAATATCAAACATAATATGGCATTATCACACTTTCTCTGGCAATATCACACATTATGTGGCATTATCACATTTTCTCTAGCAATATCACACATAATATGGCATTATCACACTTTCTCTGGAAATATCACACATTATGTGGCATTATCACATTTCTCTAGCATTATCACACTTTCTCTGGCAATATCACACATTATGTGGCATTATCACATTTTCTCTAGCAATATCACTCATTATATGGCATTATCACACTTTCTCTGGCAATATCATACATTATGTGGCATTATCACACTTTCTCTGGCAAGATCACACATTATGTGGCATTATCACACTATCTCTGGCAATGTCACATCTTTTTCTGGCAATATCACACATTATATGACAATATCACACAACCCCATCAATTCAAGTAGAGAGAAAAGGAAAAACATGCTTGATCTATTCTGGTTTATTTTCATCACGAAAGAAATGACATAAACATATAAATGTAAACATAAATGATTAAAAGTTGTTTTTTTTGTGGGGAAAGCTGTGAAAAAATAAAGCATAGATGGAATGTTAAATAATTATGTCTATAATAGAGTTATGGCCCCTACTATTACAAAAAACATGGACCACTTGGTTGTAATTTGAAATAAATATGCAAACATGGCAAAACAAACATAATTATATGAATGAAATAAACATATTTGTTTTCATACAAATTTTCAAAACTACCTTAAGCTGATAGTCTGATTTTGCAAGTAATATGTTTTAATTTACAAGAAATAGTTTCCTTTTTCTTTTTTACACTTTCAATTTGGATATACCAGTTTAAAATGTGAATCGGTTTTAAATAGCTCTGAGAAATGAATTGCCGGATTAGATCTTTGTCATAAAATTATAATTTCAAAATCATGAAATAATAAACATAAGTAAAAATATTATTGTACATACATGATTGTATATATATAATCTAAGCATTGATTATTTGGAGCACAACATCAAAAATTAAAATTCTGCATTTAAATAAATTTGGCAACAAAGATTTACACCTACAATTATAATGTCCATTGAAAGCGCATATTATACATGTATATATATTAATTCTATAATCAACAGTAAACAAAAATATTTAAACCACAATTTACTTTTTATCAGTATTTACTATTAAAGAAAGTACATGTACAATCAAAACTGCAGGAGTCAAAGGTCAGTTTTATCAACCAAATGATTATTTTGTTGTTTCTTGCCTCAGTCTAAAAATACCATTTTATCATTTATCAATTCTTGCATAAGGTTTTTTTAATATTATCTATACTCAACTCACAAAAGTTTTCTCCTACTCAAACAAGTATTTTAACAAATAAAAGTATCAAAATTAAAGGACATAACATTTGGTCAGATCCCAACGGAACTTGGCTATATCCTTGACGTTTTTGTCGGAGACAGTCTCAAATCTCTGGATTTTCATTGGTTGGTGTACTTTCTGCTCCAGCTCCTGACCAATCAAATACCAGAGATCTGAATTGAGCTTAGAGGATTTCTTCATAACCTCTGACCTTGGCTTTTATCCCCCAAGGTCTAACCCAGGAGATTGCCTAAATCAGTAATTATCATTCCAGTGTTCTATAATAAATTCTGATTATCTTAATACATGTATATTACCTTATACTACATGAAAATATACATGTTAGAGTCCTACAGATATCACGTGATCCAATATAACAAAAACTGTACATAATAATATAAACACACAACATTTAATGAAAAAAGTGACTAAAGTGAAATATTAAAATATTTCTCACTGTAATTCATTAAAATAGAAAATAATGACGTTTTATTTCAAAATGAAATGTAAAAAATATTTCTCATTGTAATGAATTAAAGTAAGAAATAATGACATTTTGTTTTCACAAATCACAAAATTTTTATGAAATCAACTTCCTATGAAAAAGTACAAAATTTAGCATTAATAAAATGGTCAAAATTGAAATTATACATTAAAACACATAATTCATGTATAACTTTTTTTATTAGTGTGCATTTCAGATCTGGTTCATGAGATCTACTTATATTTCTTCAAACAAAGATCAGATCTGTACCTTGAGATATAAGAATATTTTTTTTTCTAACAATATTTCACTTATATGTATATCAGATATCATCACCTGTTATTAGAGATCTATGAACATGGGATGTAAATCAGATCTGTTATTAGAGATCCATAGGTTATGTTACATCAAAATATAATGCACCTGTGAAGATCTTAGTATCAATAAAATATCCTTTTTCAAACAAAGTAAAGAATAAAATGAATGTAGAATTACATGCATTTCTAAGTTATTAACAATCTTATAAATATCACAATATAAATGACTTCATTATTGGTATTATTAAAATTATACCACAAATTATTGTTATAATAATTAACCTGTTAAATTTGTGCCATGGATTTGCCCTGCTTTTAATTTGGAACAGTCCATTTTGAAAATTTAGGGGATCTCAATATCAAAATTGTACAACCAACAGTATAATGCCTAGTCAGATTAAATGGAAGTGCAGAATGGCCTGGTCCGATACTGTTGGGAAAGGCTAATAACATTCTGTTCCACTAAATTACAGGTTAAATCTTATATTGTGCCATGAATATTTTTCACATATTTCTTGCCATTACATCATACAGTGAAATGTTAAAATATGTAATTGATCGCATTATTCCACCGGGATTTTTTTTCTGGAAAATATCTATTTTAATGACTGGATTATAAATGCTTGTTTTTACTTGTCTTATTCCATGCCTGAATGAAGTGTAATGTCAAATGTTCAAGCCTATGATTCAACAATAAATTTCCGATTAAGACTTCATTGAAATGAAAGTACCATGTGCAACTGTCTATGCTCCAAAAATGACTGAAATATTACCTACCAAATATTATACATGTACATATCAGTGTAGTCTTGTATCCACAGACAATTTGTCCCAAAAATTATTATGCAACTATATTCGTATTATTATTGAAGCATATACTTTGGAATACAATGCATATTTCTGTACATTTTGTATACATGTTTGTCATCGCACTCAGTTTAGCAGCTATAATAAACAACTCTTTATCTAACCGAATGACAAAACTATCAATTTTCTAAGCCAAAACATTACTTTTTTCTACATTATAAAGGAGACAAACAAAATATGAGCAAAATAAGATTAAAATAAATTTTCATGTTCAAACATAAATTTAGGTCCAGCCTTCAAATAATAGTTTATCATTTTATCAATATATAAATACTAATTAGCTCCTTGTAAGCACATTATATATGAATTCTGCAGACAAATACAAAGCAAAAGTGATCTAGTTTAGCAAATCTTGGGATGAAAACAAAATGAACTGGATTTATATCTTTGTTAAAACTTTAATGCTATAATCTACAAGCAATAATTGCAGAAGTTCTTCTCTTATTTTTTGCCTTCAGACAGAAAGTAGAGCTCGTTGTTTTCATTTCTATCCAATAAATCAGAAACAATACTGCTTCATTCAATATAAAAATAACTACCGTTACATTTTTTGACAGAAAAATAAAGAAAAACAACAACTTTGTTACACATGCACTAATATGAAAAGTCCCTTTTATATTATAATGAAAAATCATGAAAGAAAAAAAGTATGAAAGAAAAAAAAAAGTTAAAATTGGTCCTTAAAAGTGCACAAAACATTATGAATATCACTGTCTGTGAATAACATAAATACATCAATGTTAATGAGGGCTTTAGCCAAAAAATCTATTCACAATTCAGTCAATACATTATTTGAAATTTTCACAAAAAAGATAGTTTTGTCCAAATTAAAAGCTGGACAAATCCATTAGATATTTAACATGGTAAGAGTTAAATAGAAACCTTTACATAATTATGCTGAATATATCATGAAATCAGACCATTGTTGGTCAATTTGGTTGTTTTTAAGTGGTATGAAATTCTATTTCTGAACTAAATAGTAGAACTAAAGCACTTTGGGTCTGAGCACTATATGAATTTTTACATGGTTTGTCCTCTTTAACAACAGAACTGGTTTATCCAAGGAGCCCATCTCAAAAGATATCAATCATAATTGGGCTACCTATAATCTGTAGAACATTGGGCTGCCTATAAGTTGTAGAATATTGGCCTGCCTATAAATTGTAGAATATTGGGCTTCCTATAAACTATAGAATACTGGGCTGCCTAAAATCTGTGGGATATTGGACAGCCTATAATCTGAAGAACATTGGGCTATCTATAATATGTGGACTACTGGACAGCCTATAATCTGTAGAATATTGGGCTATCTATAATCTGAAGAATATTAGTCTTCCTATAAACTATAGAATATTCATTTGAATCTTTATAAAATCAAAGAAAATACAAAGAGGAAAAATATAAAATATAAACAGTCTAATATAGTGGTCCTTAAAGCACATTTAGCACTACACATAAATATAATAGTATATAACTTATATATAATTGACACAAATTTATCAAATTTGACACAAAAATATCAAAAAATGATTTTTTTTTAATGAAAGCAAAAAAAGCAGTCGATATGTTTTTTATACACTAGCGAACATATATCACAATAGCAAGATCACAATGTTAATATATAAAATATCCAAATACATGGAAACATGAAGAAACATTGACATGATACATCAAAAATTCATAAACCCCACAAAATATACACTTTATAATCGAGTGTAAAGACAAAAACAGTGTAAGTTAAAAAGTGTAAACAACATTTTTATACAATAAATGACATACAAACAACATAGAAATGTTTATTTTTTTTTACAAAACATCAAGGCTTTTCAATCTTGGCTTGTTTTTTACCCTAATCCTACTGACTCTGTGTAATGGATTCACCCATTCATTGAATTCGGAACAGTCCATTAGCAGTATAGGGGATTTTAATATCAAAATACCAAAAATTAAGCAGCCAAACGGTATAAAACCTGGTCCAACTGCACAGATGTGCAAGCTGCCCTGGCTCTATACTTGAGGCAAAAGGCTAATCACTTTAAGTTCCAGCCGATTAAAGGTCAAGTAGAAAAGATAATGGTAAATCTGTTAAACATAGCAAAACATAGTTACAATTTTGATTACGAGTCAGCATATTCTTTTTCCTGCAATTATTTATTGTACAGATTGTATAAGCACTGTATACAGTTTAGATTCCTATAGCTAATTGGTCATTGAAACATTACTTTCGACTATAATGTACTACTTATGTGCACAGATAACATGTGATTTACTTTATGCAACAATTTGATCATCTGTGACCCATTATACAAAAAAGAAGCCAGTTTTAAATACATGTACATATTATTACAAAACATATCTGTTCCGAACGTCATAAAAATGGGAAAATGGTGCTACGAATTTTCTTCTTTTATTTCGTTTCACTTAGAAATATGAAATAATAATATGTCAAAGTTTGTAAACACTTTTGACTTATATGTATCAAACTATTTGGAAAATTTTGCAGACTAAACAATCAACTGGCGCTTTTTTGTATGATGCACCACATATAAATTATCATAACCAGTGGTAATATAATCATGTCTAATGTAAAATTGTGTTGCTGCCATGTTCATGTTTTAAAGGCACCTCTGAAAACGCTGTATAGGTGATATGTTTAACAAATGAAAATGTGACAATTAATCTAAAATCTAAGTTTCCTGGTTACATATAACTATATTAATATGTAAACATATACTAATTTTCTGTGACATCTACAAAAACCTAGTGTCAAATAATAATCTGATAATCATTGTTATAATCAAGCCATCTGTGCCAACCATCCTTTGTTATTTAAAAAAACCCTCCTCATTAAAGGTACACGTAGTTAAATAATAAAAGGAAAGTTGATGGTCGACTATGGCAAAGACAAAATAGGTAACCTCACTGAGGCTGAACAAATTTAGCCTTGAAAGTCATGTAAGATTTACTGCAGTTAAAGTTTAACACCTGGCATTTTGGTCATATTGGTCCACTTACCAAGGTTTTACTGTCATTTCCCTAATTTCATTCAAGATCTACATAACACAAGTTTTACTGTAGACAATACACTATTACAGTTATATAAATGTCTTTGTGTCAGAATTCTAGCTTTTTGTAAACATATTTCAATCTAAAACACATAATAAATATTATCATTATGAACAGAAACTTCCCCAAACATCTTAAACACATCATTAAAAACATGTTGTATTATAAGAATACAATAAATTCTAAACAATCATATTGCTTTCCTTAGACTTGAAATTAAGGTACATGTATCTATCCTAATTTCCAGCACCTTTCCTTTATTGTGAACATATTTCCATCACTTATATAAACATAGAATATTAACCCTTAACCTGCTGAATTCTTAAATGGACTTGTCCATCTTCCATATTTGGAACAGTCCATTATCAAATTTGGGTATTTCAAGATGAAATTTAAAGCAGCCTTCAGCATTTTTTTTTTTTTTTTGAAAAACAATTTTGTGTTGTATCAAACTAAGTATCTTGTAAAAGTGCATCATATTACTATTAAGCCTTCTTCAAAACAGCGTCCTAAGAGCTATTTATAGCCCATCAGTGATGTTCAGTATTATAATATATTCAACCTTAAGAAAAGCTGAAGGCTGTTGTAAAGTTAGTCAGCCAAAGTATATAGCCTGGTCACACAGCAGGGATGTGCAGGGCTGGTCTGGCTCTATATTGGTGGCAAAGAATAATCCGTGAAGGTTTCAGCAGGTTAAAGGTTAAATTATATGTCAATCAAAACACAAAACATAACTAAGCTACCAAACAATCAAATTTATAATACTTTTATATCTAACAAATAGTTCTATTATAGATCAATATAGATCTATCTTGAACCATTGTCAAAATTGAGCTTAATTATATGGTAAATAAATATTTAGATTTGACATTTTTTAAAAGCAATTAACTGCGGTACAAGTTTTTGTTTTGTAAACAGGTACGATGAACCTGTTCCCAATCCTGCATTTATGAAAATAGCGTCAAAATTAACATTTTTGTGTTTCTCAAGTTACCCAATTTTTCAATTTTTTAGAAATTTCCCATTTCCAAGTTTGGGGAAATACACAAACCATAGTTCTTTCTTCAAATTTTTCAAAATATTTGCTGTTTATTTTTTATTTAACATTTAACTTTGGTCAAAGAAGTCCTTATTACATTATACAAACTCTACATAAGGTGTGTATTTCCCTGGTCAAATTTGAGCTAAAGATTTCCCTCTTTTTATATAAATTAAGTAAATATGAACAATATGAGAAAAGAAGGAGAACGATTAAACACTGAAAAATCTTGACAACTGATATAAGAAAATTAAATGGGAGTTTGAAAAGCTGACATTTTTATATTTCGTTTTTCACAAAAATAATGAAATATATATAGAAAATTCACGAGAATATCTTTGGTAATTGTCAGAAAATATCTACAACACTTCAGAATGTTTCTGTATATAAGTCTATGTCAATCAAGGCTCTGAGATAAGCATAAGGTGTTTCTTCCTCGTGACCTTGACCCCAGGTATACCAGGCTCTAACCCTTTGGCCCCTTGTTGAAACGAAACTTGAACTGATGAATTACCAAACTGACTACTGCATCTGTAAATATCAAAAGTAATGGGCCTTTAACCAATATCCTTTTTATTAATAAACAATTTTATCATTTAACTTTAAATCTTTCAAATATAAAAGCATTTTGTGCTTCATTTTGGTCACACCACTTAATATGGTGGTTTCCCAGCTTAAAATGTGTAAAAAAAGACCGAAAGTGCCCCTCCATACATTATTACAAGCACAAACAAGCTCCTAAGTAGAACCACTGACATTCCATAAACTAGCTTCATAGCTTCCTCTTATGAATGAATCCAAAATCCCAGTCAGGATTTGCACTCACAGCAGTAAGTGGCAAGTGTTTTGAAGTAAACCTTTACAACAATGCCATGAATGCTTTGACCATATATACTTATATATTTTTCACAAATAAGAAGACAAAATTTATTATTTATACCAACAATGGCTTAGCTTAAATCTATAACATATACATTCAGAAAGTAAGTCAGTACTGATTTTTTTTAACAGGTACAACCTTCTCCAAATAACTAATCTGAATCAGTACCGTATAGTGTATATAGGGTATACATAACAAACAGGCAATTAATTACTATTAAAACAGACAACCCTTAAACTGCTGTATTTGTGTAACAGATTTGCCAAGCTTTAAATTTGAAACAATCCACTCAAAGTGTAAGGGATTTCAAAATAAAAATATGCAAATACAGCAACCAACAGTATAGAGCCTGGTCAGACTGCAAGGCAGTGCAGGCTGGCCTGGCTCTTTACTGTTCGCAAAGACTAGTCACTAGTTACAGCAAATTAAACAAGAGGGCCATGATGGCCCTAGACCTCTCACCTGACTTATCAAACTCATCCAAACAATTACCTAGACAAGCATTCTGACCAAGTCTCATGACAGGTGAGTCAAAAATGTGACCACTACAGTGTTAACAAGGATTATCCATATTTGAGCAGTGCGACCTAGTTTTTTACCCAGGTGACACATATTCAAACTTGACCTAGAAATCATCAAAACAAACTTTCAGACCAATTTCCAGGATACTTGGATCAAAACAGTAGCAACTAGAGTGTTAACAAGATTTTTCTATTTTCAGCTCCGGTGACCTAGTTTCACATGCGATTTCGAACTCATCCAAGTAATTACCTAGACAAGCATCCTGACCAAGTTTGATGATAATTGAGTCGAAAATGTGACCACTAGAATGTTAACAAGGTTTTTCCATATTTGGGCGGTGTGACCTAGTTTTTCATCCAAGATGACCCATGTTCGATCTTGACTTAGAAATCATCAAATAAACTTTCAGACCAATTAACAGAATATTTGGATCACAACAGTAGCCACTAGAGTGTTAACAAGATTTTTCTATTTTTAGCTCCTGTGACCTAGTTTTTCATCCGAGATGTCCCATGTTCTATTTATTCCCAGCAATGACCTAGACAAGTTTCCTGACTAAGTTTGATGACAATTGAGTCAAAATTGTGACCGCTAGAGTGTTAACAAGGTTTTTCTATTTTTAGCTCCTGTGACCTAGTTTTTCATCCGAGATGACCCATGTTCGAACTCATCCGAGCTATCACCTAGACAAGCATCTTGATCAAGTTTGATGATGATTGATGCAAAAATGTGACCGCTAGAGTGTTAACAAGGTTTTTCTATTTTTAAGTCCGGTGACCTACTTTTTCATCCGAGATGACCCATGTTCAAACTCATCCGAGCTATCACCTAGACAAACATCTTGACCAAGTTTGATGATGACTGATGCAAAAATGTGACCGCTAGAGTGTTAACAAGGTTTTTCTATTTTTAGCTCCGGTGACCTACTTTATCATCCGAGATGACCCATGTTCGAAATTTTCCGAGCTATCACCTAGACAAGAATCTTGACCAAGTTTGATGATGATTGATGCAAAAATGTGATCGCTAGAGTGTTAACAAGGTTTTTCTATTTTTAGCTCCGGTGACCTACTTTTTCATCCGAGATGACCCATGTTCGAACTCATCCAAGCTATCAACTAGATAAACATCCTGACCAAGTTTGATGATGATTGATGCAAAAATGTGACCGCTAGAGTGTTAACAAGGTTTTTCTATTTATAGCTCCGGTGACCTAGTTTTTCATCCGAGATGACCCATATTCGAACTCATCCGAGCTATTATATAAACAAGCATCCTGACAAAGTTTGATGATGATTGATGCAAAAATGTGACCACTAGAGTGTTCACAAGGTTTTTCTATTTTTAGCTCCTGTGAAATAGTTTTTCATCAGAGATAACCCATGTTCGAACTCATCCAAGCAATTGACTAGACAAGCATTCTGACCAAGTTTGATGATGATTGGTTCAAAAATGTGACCACCAGAGTGTTCACAAGGTTTTTCTATTTATAGCTCCTGTGACCTACTTTTTCATCCGAGATGACCCATGTTCGAACTCATCCGAGCTATCACCTAGACAAACATCCTGACCAAGTTTGATGATGATTGGGTCAAAAATGTGACCTCTAGAGTGTTCACAAGCAATTGTGGATGTACGACGTACGACGGACATTCACCGATCCTAAAAGCTCACCCTGAGCAAGCTCAGGTCGGCTAAAAATTAAGGGTAAAATAAAAATAAAGCAATGATCTTACTGTGGACTAATGGTGATTTCTGGCATTTTACTTGTTTTGTTTTTCAAACACAGACTAGATTTTGTCACTATCTCTATGATGTGCTCATTTCCGATGATGAAATCTCCTTTCTTCGCAAACTTGTCACCGTTCTCTGGCTATAAATAGAAACAAGACTTGTTACATGATACATGTATTAGAACATTACAGATTATAAATAGCATATACTAGTACTTTCTAGGGGTTTAATACTTTTAAGATTATGACAGAAATGAGGATGTTAATTGCCGGGTCATGTATCATTTCAGGGTTGAGTAGATTAGTATATTGGTAGAAACACATTTACACTTAAAATAGTTTTTCCTAATTGAAATCAAAACATGCAGGACAAATTATTCAATGTTAACTACTTTGCTTCAAGAAAGCTAGTCATCTGTTAGTGATGTCTGATGTAACAATGTCAATAGAAAAGAAATATTATCTTAAACAAGAAATATTCTAAGACCTTTACCTCGAATTGACCTTGACCATGAAGGTCAAATTATTGAAATTTCATAAAATTCGTCATAAACTTTGTTTGTTTGTTTTTTACAGATTTGATGTGTACTTAGACAAAAGAATGCATATGACAAAACTGACATGCTTAATTCTTCTGATATGACTTTGAAATTGAACTGAATTTGACCACCAAGGTCAAATTATTGAAGTTTGCTCAAGCCCTACCCTTGACTTGAGCAGTATCCAATCTTCAGCACTTACAGTATTCAACTGGACAGGAAAATTATAGAATACAGAGCAAGTTTTTGTTTAAAATAGCAAACCTGAGAACAATTTTACCTTTTTCATGTGAAACACAGCTAGTTTATCCTGGAATGGACTCAGTGATATTTTCTCTATATATTCTATAGGTATTCTATATTTCAACGTCATTGTATGATGATCTATAACTAACAAAGCCTGCGAACTAATCACCAACAACTGCTGTACAATCTGAAATAATAATACAACATATATAACTAAATGAAGAAATATCACACATCCAATCAATACATTGCTGTTTAAAGTAATTTATCATCTACTGATGAAAAAAAGCAATATTTTTCTACTTTGTGATCATGATTTCTGCGACTAGGGGTACTGCTTCAACACTGTAGTTTAGTTATATCTATAGTTAAATGGTTGTACCTACCTTGCCATTAGCTCTGTTCACTTTATGGACAAGATCAGCAAACACCAAGTTAATGTCATGGGTTACAGAATGAATCTTTTTCCACTTCATGTCACCTCGTAAGTTCAGATAATCTCCCTTGAATGGATGTGGAACACTGAAAGAAACATTAGACTGTATTAATTCATGCATGAAAAGATAACAAAATGACATTGCTTAAAATGGATTCTATCAAAATCTATTCCTATAAACATAATGAAAGTGAAGGTGTATATTTAAATAAACTGTACCCATTCCCAGTGATGAGTTTTATATATGATTCATGATTCAATTTATCTCATTAATTTTATGTAACATCTTTATTTTTGGGAAAAAAATCACTTCATAGATTTAAAATGTATTCTTGAGTCAAATTTCTTAGACATGCATCCTGGCTTTATTTTTTAGCCAGAACATATTCATCATCTTGACTGTAGAGCAATATCTTGTAATCTTAAATCACTTCTTGGACTAACCAGTACTGGTGTCATATTAAGAAACACTGCCTTAGTGGGCTTGAACCCACAATGCCTAGGTAAGGTAGCAGACTCATTAACTAATAGATCACCCTCCCCTCCTACTGACAAAGGCAATCATTCATGCTGGTAGCACGAGAGTGGAACCTCTGACCTATTGCATTTTAGCTGGATAGCATTTTTATATGAAACAATTTAAAATCACTGGCTGGATTTGAAACCAAAGCAGTAAGGGGTAATTGATTTAAAGTTGGTGATCATAATCACTCACGCTTGTCAAAACATCTAAATGTTTACAAGTAAGGAGTTAAACATTACTTCAATTCATTCCCTCCTTTAACAACATACTATAATACATATTCACTGTGTTGATGTAAAACAAGGAAACATCAAACCTTTCAGGGTAAATGACTTTCTTGTCCTTGAAAATATCACTAGCTGTTGCTTTCTCACGAAGAGTATACTTCTGACTCTCGTTCAACTTTCGTCTGTATTTACGACACTGTTAGATATATTAAAATAATGTAATAAAATGCCATGAAAGTATGGTAGATATATATAGGATCTTAAAAGAGTTGTCATACAAAATCATATAGATTTTCAACAAAATGATGAGTCTAGGAAAGTATAGTAACAACAACTAAATGACAAACAATTGCAAGATTCTTTTTATCACATTATATTTAAAATTTGTTTTCTGGTTTAATACTGAAATATTATACTGAAAACAAGTGAACTTTTGTGGTAATGTATTTATGTCTTTGTGTTAAGTAAAAACTAGTAAGAGACATTTCAAATATTATTAATGTTACAATTGAAAATGAGGTAAAAACTGATTTTTTTTATTTTCCTACAGTATTGTAACAGTATTGTTATTCATTTTGAAAACAAATCAAATCTTCAGGTACACTAACTTATTAGTTATATTCCTATCAAAATATACCTATTGAAACAAGTCTAGAAAAAGAGTTGTAAAACATGTACATGGCGGCCTTAATTACATTTCTTGTATTTAATGTAATTTAATCCTTGAATTTCTATCAATTTTTTAAGATAATATCAAGATAAAAATTTGATCAGTCTAAAGTATAGAGCCTGGTCAGACTGCATGATATGCAAGCTGACATGGCTCTATACTGTTGGCAAAGGCTATTCACTTTCAGTTCGCGTGTTAATATAGTACAAAGGAACGAGAAATTTACCCTCCATCGATGATGCATGACTTGTAGCTGGTCGGAAGCAGACTTGTACATGTTAAGACTAGACGGCCATTTGTTGTCTATAGGTGATAGGCTCGGCAACTTATCTCTCACGTTGAGAAGGAACTTTCGTCTCTGTAAATATAATACATTATAAATATTTTATTACATGAAATTAGTAATTACTGATAAATCATCCAGGAAGGCCCATCAGGTGGACTGACCACCAAAAATGTGTTAGAATTGGTGTAAATCAAAACGAACAGGCCGAACTTAAGTATAACTTAGATGTAAGGTAATTTTTAGCATTCTTATAAAGTAGGTGAGTTTGATAAAGTCAAATTATTCTAATTTCTGTTGCTGTTTTTATCTTTTTGTTAATTAATTTGTTCTGTTAAAAATGTGTAGATAGATAGGTGTAGGGCACAAGCACAAGACTCCTTATTTGGAAGCTGTGGGTTTAAATCCAATCAAAGTATATATTTCTTTTCCCTCCTTCAGGCAACATTAGTGCTATAACTAGTTAAGACACCCAAAAAGCAGTCTTTTGGTGGGACTAAAATGTACTATGTATAGGTCACCAGGAATGGCAGTTACACAAAAACAAACAAACATAACTTACCCTAATAATACATAAGAGATATGGCATTTCTTTTATAACTGCTTAGTTCTGAAAGTTTTGTGGTAAAAGCCTGAAGTAATTGTCGCTAGTGTTTAAACAGTTATTACTTACCAAGGCCACAACCATAAATCTGGCAACTTTCGGTCCAGCTATTCTCCTGAACTTTGGCTTGTAATTCATCCTGACTTTCCATCCCAGATAATACTTGTGAATGACACCTGCGGCCCATTCCATACGTTTCTGATGCTTCAACTCCGCCAGTAGTTTCCTTGCCTAAAAATAGTTCAATATTACTGTGAACGTCTCTCTATTTTCTATGCATACGTCAATTGTAACACTGGCCCCTAACACCAAGGGAGTAGCGTGGTTAGAATTTCAAAAACATTGTAATAGACCTCACCTACATAGACTGTCAGATGGGAAATCCCCCCTAAAAGCCCCAAACTACAAGTTGAACATATCTGCAGCTTTTGGTGGGAAAACAAAATCACTGCACTGGCACTGACTTGCAGAGCAGGCATAGACAAAAATAGAAACTTGGGTTCATTCACCCTCCACCCCCACCTCCCCTATGCTATCCCCCCACACTGCCCTGAAGGTGCGGGAAATATGGTTACAACTCACTCATGCATTACAGTAATATATACCCAACGCTCAATTTCCCTTTGTTGGATAAATATAATTGTTGTTCATATAAATATAGTAGATAAACATAGAAAATAGAATTCGAGAGTTAGGCTATGTGTGGAATAACATTACTAAAATTTAAATTTTCTTAACTAGTGCTAAGTGCTATTACTTGCAACAGCACACATATGAGGTTTAAAATCCTAATAATTCCATCAAACCTAAATCTAAAATTTAAGAAATATACATGTAGACTAAGAAATTTTAATTACAGTCTCTATACACTGATAAACTGATTGCTATATTTTTTTCTGTGTAATTTTCTAAATACCAATTCTTTTTGTCTAGCCTAAAAGAACAATCAAAAAGTGTTTGTAAATGTACAAATTCAGTTTCAGAATATGGTATCAAATTATAATACAAATTCAGTTTCAGAATATGGTATTAGATTATAAGTAATTTACACATAGATTTATATCTGATTACACAAATCTAAATTTAAGTTGAATCACTGTTCTATGTATCTCACTGACTAGCAACAACTGAAAAAATCAACATGAACTTTTTAAAGATTGAAAAACAACAATAAATTATCCACTTTGTTGTTTCTGGAAAAAGTGTGCAATACAACACAGATTAGGTGAGACTGCATGCAGGCTTGAGGCAAGGAAATATTAAACAAAATGAAATATTGATAACAGGAAAACCCTTTGCTGTAACAAATAAAAAGAGGGTATTCTTGAAATAAAATGTCTATGAGTGAATCCTGAATTTGATAGTACCTTTCAAGAATGGTACAAATGATGACAAAGAGAGCTTTGCATAACACGGCGTACTTGGCTATTCTCTGTGCTTTACAGTAAAAAAAGGGGCATAACTCTGTAAAAAGGTAACACAAAGTTATAAGACCTGTGCCCCTTATGTAAGATATTCACAGAGAACAAGTGTGTGAAGTTTCTGCCCATTCCCTTCACTAGTTTTAGAGGTACCAACTTGCACAAAGTGTGAGACCATCGCCAAGATGAGTACAATAGCTCGCCCTATTCATCGAACAGTTCAGCTAAAAATGTTGACATTCTATTTCTGATAATCAGTAAGAAAAAATTTCTAAAAAAAAAAAAATTCATAAACTCTTGACCTGGAACCCACCCCTCCACCAAGACTAGCTATTTGACCAAATACGATATAATTAGCTGAAACTTTCAAAATATAGTTCCATATATAGTTAAATTAAGTTGTGCGACTTTGTTTATTTTTTGTGTGTGTTTGCTGACCTGCCAACCTCTGTAATGCTTCTGGATATCGGTGGCAGCCAATTTACATCTTTTCTCATGTTTCAATCCTGCTAGAACTCTGATTGCCTGAAATTTAGTACCAAAAAAAAATCCATATCACACCAGAGAAATCTGTTTAATGTAAAAACAAGTCATTCCTGTCAAGCCTAATTTATGATGTTGTTACCTCAGCTCCCCCTTTATCCTAACCACTCCTCCAATATCCTTACCACACCTTGATCCTAACCACTTCCCCTTTATTCTAACCACTCCCCCTGTTACTGTATCCTTCTTAAACATACACAAAAACCATATTGTTTACGCTTGGTAATGTTTATTATATATATTAGTTTATTATTTTGTATGCTTGATGAAGAATTATAAAGATAAAGTACAATGTTTACTTAAATAGAATTTATATTTTAATTTTAAGAGAACAGAAATCTAAAACTCTCACTTATGTTTGATGAAGAATTAATTATAAAGATAAAGTACAATGTTTACTAAAATAGAATTTATATTTTAATTTTAAGAGAACATAAATCTAAAACTCTCACTACCAAAGGCAGAAAAAGTATCAACAATATAATTTCTACTTATGATATCTCACTTTCAATGAAAATATCAAATTTTTTTTTCATTCTGTTTCTTAATCACAATACAGTAAATTATATGATCAATTATCAAGTTGAGTACTTTCTTTCAATATTAAGTAATACACTTTGTTTCAATAATGGTGCCAATAAAAATTGTATCAGTTAAAAAATTATTTCTAGTTACAAAAGACCAATTGTTATAACTTGACAGGAATGATCACACAAATATAATAAAGCAGAAATCATTGCTACTAGCAACTGCAAATATATGAAACAACCTACAGCAATAAACAGAAATATCTTTTCTTATCAGTGAAAAGAAAAAATTAGCTACCAAATAATTTCTGTATTTATTGGCAAGGAGAGTTGAAATTATGAGTCAAATTAAAAGTAAAAAATTAGGAATGTCTGAATTACCTCCCCTTAACTATATCAATAGCTAATTATTTGAACCAACAGCAGTTAAGAGCATGTGCTTGAGTGACCGTAACCCCTTTGTAATAGAGGCTTGATCAATAAATATTAATGATTTTGTGAGATTTTCTTTCATATGAAGGAAAGGAAATGAATATTTCCCTAAATAATTGAAGATGGGAGTATTTCTAATTATGAAATTAATATTTCTGTTTATTTACAGTGAAAGATACAAATAAAAATTTACAACCCTACGAAATACACACCAGTAAGCTACTGAAATATCTTACCCAGAACTACTTTATATTACAATAATATCACTACATTTGTGTAACTGGGTTGTTACCACAGTTTTATTTATTCTACATATACCTTTACCAAAATCATGAAATATTTAGTGAAAGGCCACTGCTAATGACTTGCACCAATATAAAAACTCTAATAATTAAGCTTATAAACCTAACACTCATATACAAATAGCATTATCAACATTTTTTTCTAACAATATCTACAATTTTTATACATGATTTCTATGTAACTAGCAAATAGAAACTTCAAAGAAAGAATATTTCTGTATATTGAGCAGACAGATGGAGCTTGAAGAGGCTATCTTTGATGTCATACAAGGAAAGAAAACACAATGTCATTTATAGAATGCTTAGACTTTGAATTTAAATCAGAACATCAAATTCAAAGGCATCTCCATAGTTTGAATAGAGAAGGTAAGTATGAAATAGTACAGAGTCTGGTTAGACTGCAAAGCAGTGCCGGCTGCTCCGGCTTTATAGAAGTGGCATAGACCTATATTTTAATATTGCTGACATGGAAACATGGATGAATGTTAGAAAACTTATCTTCGGATTCACAATATTTAAACAACAACTGAAGAGTGGGTAAAAAGGACCAATACAATGATTTCACTATATTTAATAACCACTGACGTTTGAAGAAAAATCACTTCAATAAAGATTTACAGATACTTCAAACACGTTCACAATGCATATTATCACCATCAAATGCTTCACTATATAGCACATTGTGATCAATTTAACAACAAGCATTATATACAGTGAGGGGGGTATACAATAAGCTAGGGGGTGAAAGGTTACCTTCCAGCGTCTTGTACAACATTGTAACAGTAGGGCTGCAGCTTTCTTCCTCTTGTACTGTTTCTGACCCTGTAATAATATTAACACATTTTCTTTGAGCTTTAAGACATAAATAAAATAAAACACTGGTAGTTCATTTGGCCACTTTCTAGCCATTTTCTTTAAAACAAAAGTGGTCATCCAAATAGAACAACAAACCTTTCATTAACTTGCTTGACAGCTTTCTCAAAATAAACAATGTCTACATCTTCCCTTGGAGGATATGAAGCCATAAAGAGGAGGAAAAAGTAATATGAAACTTTGACTTGAGATCTTAACAACTTGACCTTCATTCACATGATTTTTACATATACTGTAAATAAATTACTAATGATCAAGTATTTATAGAGGAAAACATTACACAGTTTCTAATATGGTTAAAAAAAATTTGTTTTTATCCAATAATACATGTGTCCCTGAAATTCATTAGAAAATCTGTTAACAAAAGATTTTTTATAACAAAAGATTTTTTTATACAAACTTTTTAACAGAACTATCAAACAATGAATGTTGATGAGCCCACGCCTTTCTTATCATTTCAACAGATGATAATGCTATAAATAACTTACATAGAATCCTCTAAACCTGCTAGAGATGATCACCTGACTTCTCTTCATCAACAGGAAGTGCTCTCTCTTCACATGACCTTTCCAGACTTTCTGTATGAGAGTTGCCAGGAAGTGCATTCTCTCCCTTCTTGTTTCCTCAAGGTCAAATAGCTGAAGGTAAAAGGTCAAATATTTGAATTTTAAATCTCTATTTGTAATGTGCATGTAAAACATACGAAAAATTCTGAAATTCAAGCAGGAAATTTTGTAACAAAATGAATTCAATTCAACTCATGACATATGTAATTAAGAAAAATCATGTAAATACATTATGTACTCTTATATTATTAAAATTAAAAAATTCTTTAAAGAAATGATCATGCCAAAAAAAACCCCAAAAGATCTTAACTTCCACCATTTTTGATACATGATAATAAACAGACAGAACTAATGAGCAAAGTTTGTTTAAAAAGAATGAAATTTAACTTTCAAAATGTAAAATAATCCTATTTTTAAAGATTAACTTGCATCAGTCTTTAAAATAGAACACTTACAGTTCTTGGATTTCTAATGAATAATTTGGATTTTCCGAAGGCTATCTCATCGTCTGCAATTTTCTGATTGGCAAGAATCTTTTTAACCCCTTCTTTAGCATCACCGTGCCATGACGGCCATGTTTCATCAGCCAGCATTTTGTAGCGATACAAAAACTGGTCGTACACCTGTCTGTAGGCATATCCGGCTCGTTTTACTCTGATATTCTCCATTAACCTGTTGACAAGATTAACAAGTTTAGTACAATATAGACAAATACACAATATACGTGTACTATAATAAATATAAACTTTATCATATAACACTTTCACAATATACTATATAGCTATAAACTTCACAATATACATGAAGGTACGAGGCTAAAAACTTCAAAATATTGCTATAAACTCCTTATATAGCTTATGATAGCAAAAAAACCCCTTCAAAATCAAGCTATTAACTTTACAATGTACTACAATAAATATAAACTTTATAACACAGCTCTTTTACAATGTAACTAAAAACTTCACTATATATATATATAGCTTTAAACTTTACTTTACAATTCACTTTACACATTACAATATAGCTATGAACTTAACAATATAGCTTTAAACATCCCTTTACAATATCCTACAATAGGTACAAACTTTAATATAGCTATGAATTAACTTTGTAATATACTCACAATAGCTAAAATGCAGCTTTGAACTTAACAGGTGATATAAAATCTACAAACTTTACTTAATTTAGCAATAAACTTAACCACAAAGCTTCATACATATTTTGCATAACTTTTCTTAAAGCAAACATTCATTCCCCCTAAAAAATCAAACCAAGTCTTACCCCAGATATCTGACCTGATGTTTGACAATATCTAAATCTAACTTCCCACTCTGTTTTTCATCATTTGGCTGAAATAAAAACATTTATTATAAGTTATCAGTTAAAAAATCTATCACCAAAAACAAAAGTTTATTGGAATGGAAATGACATTAGCTTTAATAAAATGGTCTTTTTATGGATAAAATACCTTAATCAATATAGGCAATAAATTAAATTTAGGTGACACAGACATTTTTCAAAACTTGTATTAGCTGGAGCAAAATTATAGCCTGTTTTTTTAAAATGTTATTTGAATATTTTAAGTACTTATTTAGAAGAAAATGTTAACTATACCTTTATACATCTAATATAATTTGGGTTCTTAGACAGCAAGTTCTTCATCAGTTCCTGTACAGATGCCTGTAAATAAATGTAAACATTTACCATCTTTTATTGGACCACTCTTGCATTTTGAAAAGTTGACTAACAGTGTAATGGATTTAATAATGTTACAGTGCAACCTCAACAGAGGGGACATCTGTAGAACAATAACACCTTTACAGTATCATGTTTTTCCAAAGTAAGAATATACAAGAACTTAATCTCTGAAGACAACACCTGTCAGCAAAAACCAAGATCTTTGTCTACAAAAACCTTCATCTACAAAAGAGTGTTGCTATGCAAATTTTGTATAAAAAATAGTTGAGTTAAGGAGCAAATATTATAGAGCCTGATCAGACTGAACAGATTTAAGCTTTGTGGTGAAATTCTGGCCAAATAAGAAAGGACTGAGTGGTCTGAGCAGGGCAAAGTGTCAAACATATGAAAACCTCATAGACTACTGTTTATTATTATGGCTAATTTCATTTATCCCATAATCTGCTGTGACCAAAAATGATTTATCCTTTGCTGTCAGTATAGAGCCAGGCTAGCCTGGGCATTCATGCAATCTGACCAGGCTCTTTAATCTTGGCATCTCAGTTTTGTTTTCTTATACCGAAATACCATTATCTTAAAATGAACTGTTCCAAGGTCAAAATAGGGCAAATCTGTTATACAAGTTCAGCAGATTCAGGGTTAGAAAAATTGACAAAAATCTGAACAAAAAAGATAAACACCTTGAACTGTGAGCCAGCTGTTGGTGGTCTCTTCAAAGATTTCTGTGTTGGATTCCCTGAAATAACAGATAAACAAAACTTTAACTTTGACAAAAATCGTACACCTCAAAGTAAACAGAAATGACCTGTCGCAACAAAACTAGCATGATTTGTGGAATTCTAGACTATTTAGAAGTGGCAAATACTTTTATTACTGTAATGCATTAAAGTTCTAGCTTTATTACTTAATCAAATGTAATAATAAAGGTTTCTTTAAAAGGGCAGTGGAAATACTTGAAAAGTAAAGAAGTAACTTGAAGGATAAACTTCTTTTAATTCAAAAGAGAAAGGGGAGCAACTCTTGATACATCTGATTACTTTTATCATCCACCTTCTTTAAAACTAAGGAGTTTATTTTGTCAACCCTTAAAAGTGTTTATAGAACTAATTAACTACACCTGACTGTCTTAAAAAATATCAGATGCCTCTAAAGGTCATTGTTTAAACAAATAACAGAATCTTATGCTGTTTCTCCGAAAGTCTTAAGGCTCTTTTGTTAGTTAGGACATTAAAATCAATGAAACTATCACCAAAATGATAATCTCCCACATACACTTTTTCCTGTGGGTAAAAACTGAAAAATTATCTGATTTCCACAAATCTGTACATGCAAACATACTCACAAATACCCTTAAAACATTACATGTTATAAAAATTTTACTCACTGCCCCCTAACCCTAACCCACTCCTCCCAATCAATTTCTCAAAAAAACAACACAACTAATCATTTGCACAGAATTAGATAATTATAATAACACTGTTTGTGTACACACATAATTTTCTACTATTAAATTACACTCTTTTTTTTCTATTGTCATAAAAAGCAGAAAATTTAGAGTATTCAATCCTTTACTTTTTAATCATCAGAAATTATCAAGTATTCAAGTATTCTCTGAGTAATGAGGAAGGTAGTAAAGAACAGGGTGAAAAACAGAACAAGAGGGCCACAATGGCCTCTAATCACTCACCTGAACCACCCTGCTAAGTTTAAAAATTATTGCTGTTTCATAAACATTTTTTCCCAATTAAACCATAATTTTGATTATTATAGTGTAACATTGTATAATTCAGGAGCCAGTACTGTCTGACCTCTATGGGACATATTGTTTAATGTAAGAATATTGTAAACTACTTCTGGGTGTAGTTTAGTGAAAAGTTCCAACACACCAAATTTTGATAATACCAGTAGTGCTTTATACTAGTATAGGGAAAAGTAGAGTTGAGTTTTTTGGAATTTGACCTGTATGAATAAGATCAGTGTAAATAAAAACTGGTTCATACAAATATCAAAGATGCGAGTCAGTTAAATGAATAAAGGGTTAATGATGAAAAGTGTATTTGAAGCCTTTGTGGGCTATAACCTTGACCCCTGTAACCTCAAAATCCTTGTATGGTGCCTTCACACCAAAAATCTATGATAATGGTCAATAACGTCATAATTATCAGTTATCTAAACTCTACAAATAAGTCATGGAATTAATTAGACAGAGATCAGGAACAGAGATCTACTGGTAATATAAGTCATTCGAAAGTTTGGTCTAAATCAAATCAAACCTGAAATGAAACAATTTTTGAGCTGACAACAAATTAACAGGCGGATCATGTATACGTTTAACGCAAGCACTGACAAGGCAACGGACATCATGCGATCACAAAAGCCTCACAATGACCACAAATAGGTCAGGTGAGCTAAAAAGCTCAAAACAATTGAAATAGGGATAACAGTGATAAAACACTTCTATTAAAAAAACAGTGCTTATACATTGTATTGGTGAATTAAAATCACACTATTCTTATACATAAAATTATATACATGTATTGTTAATTTTAACTGTATTTTCTTTCTATATATTAACTTTTTATATGGTACATGCATATCATCATATTAGTCAATAAAAATATGTGAAAATATGTGAAAATATGCCTACACAATATTCTAAAATAGTGTTAAATGATTCATAATCCTGGCATTTATTGACTGTAAATGAAAAATAAAAATATCTACTATCTAGTATAAGAGACTAGGATTAAATACTTAGTTTACTATAGAAATGAACATCATCAATGGCATCATATACTATATATGATAAAACAAGTAACCTCGGACAATTGATGATTCTTTGGCCCAGTGGTCTACAGCATTGCCTTTATTTGCTTGTAAGCAGTTGACCACACAAGTTTGAATCCCATGCAGGGCAGGTTATCTTTCCCTTATGATTTAGAAAGTTTTCTAAGAAATCTTAATTTGTTGTTTCATTATCCAAACAAGCTTAAGTGAACTTTTTACTACTTTTTGCTCATAATAAAATCATAAATATCAATTGTTAAATACAGTATTAATAGATTGACATAATTATCATAAACTTGCAGTCAAACATTAACAGTGTCACTCATGACATCATTATACATCCATGTACATGTTTATATTAAATGATCTTTGAAATGGATAAGAAACTCTTTTGGTATTTTAGTAGAACAAATTCTCTATTTTCTCTGTTTATTTCTTCTCTAGTTAAGTTATTTCGCCCTTTATACACTTGTAAGCTCTTTAACCTTTGACCCTTGACCTGCCGAAAACAGAAAGTGATTAGTCTTTGCCATCAGTGCAGAGCCATGCCAGCCTGCGCATCTGTGCAGTCTCACTAGACTCTACACTGTCTGGAGCTCTTTTGTCTGTATATTCATAATGAACTCCCCTTAAACTTTGAATGGACTGTTCCAAATTCAAAACTAGGCAAATCCATTATGCTAATTCAGCAGGTTAAAGGTTAATCACATAGGAAAACAAAAATGAGACAAACTTTTTAATGACACGTACAACGCAACATAGAACAAGACTGCTGTTACCAAGTTTGGTGATAAACATAGATGGTTTCCATGGAAACAAGCATGACCTACATATAAAAGCTGAATGGAGGTGGTGAACTAACAACGTGAAAGCTCTATCAAACCTTTGTGTTCTAAAGTACTACATACTTAATGAATTCACCAAACATCGTGTATCCAATGCTTTATGGTAGCCTGAGAAAAATTAGTACAATTATATAAACCCCTAAGATACTATCATGAAATATTGTCGATAAGAAAAAAGAAGCTGAAATATAGTGTGAAAAATACATGTTTATAGAGCAAGGGACCAATTCATCTAGCAAATAAAGAGAAATTACTGTGAATATCTACCTAAGTTAGAACTTTTGGCAACTTTTTACTGAATTCAAGTAAGGATTTATTTTGAAAGTTCTTCTTGATTATTTAAGATTAATATCTCATGCATTTTATGTGATATTTTTTCAGATGACCTATGCTGATGGATGATCTTAAAGAAGTTAAGAAGCAACAATTCTACGAACACTCTACTAAAAAAATAGAGCTGTTATCGTGATCCAGAATTTGAAAATTCTTAAAAGAACTGATACAAAGGAAGACTTTACCACAGCTTCAATTAATAGTAAGATTGAATAAATTATAAATGAAGAAAAAAGAGAGCTTACTTGTAATAATCTAAAAACCAACACTATTTTCATCAAAAGTAATTATCAAAACTTCAATAAAATAATGGTGTAAAGCAGTGACTTATAATCATTTTATTCCCTACACGAAAGATGTGTAAAATTCAGGATATGAACTTGGTGATTTGTACCAGCTACTGAGCTAGCTCACTAAAACGGTTCAGACATTTGTTTTAGTAATTGAAACTTAACATTTTTGCTGTGCAACTGATTTCTTCTATTTTCTTCTCTGCAACCAAACCAGGAAAAAAAGGATGGACACAGATTTGATTTCAAATGCAGGAATGTTTTACAGAGTTGAGGCAATTTTCAAGCAGTTTTCATGAGGATTTTTGTATTATAGTTGGAAAAAGCAAGACCTGGATGGAAGCAGAGTTCATTTGTAAAGCAGGGGTTTATTTTCTATTTGTAAACAAGAACAGGTGAGAAGAAAAGTTCATTGATTTTATAAGCCAGGGGTGCGCAAATAATGCTATGAAAAAAAGTTTGAAGAATCATCAAGATTCAAACACACGCCTACTGTTGCAAGGATTGCAACAAAACTATCTACTTGCCAACTATAAATTTCCCTTGTGGTTTCACATTTGATGCTGAAATCAAGTTTATACATTTAATTTTATCAATACTGTATGAATTACAATGTAGTTTTTAAAACTTTTACTCTAGCATACTGACGTAATAAAAACCGAGCAAACTAGCAGTTTACAAAATATCATTGACGTTTACTGAGATATTCTTAGTTTTATTCTTCCCTTGACTGATAACAGTCCATAAATGGATCTGTTAATACTTACCAATTTGGAATTATTATAATAAAGATGAAGCTTTATTTCTTTTGGCGGTTTTTATGATACCTATGTGAAGTACATTTGAGTCACATGAGAGGGTTGTTTTTTCACTGTGACATTATTTGTGGAGATACATACATGTACATCAATATGGCTACTTCTGTACACGCTCATTCTGATTCCGTAATTCTAAACTGTAAAGCATACCTCTAGCTTTATAACTACACCGAACGAATGTCTATGAAATATCTGATCTGCTAATAGCTAGCCATATATAAAGCTCATATAATTGTTATGCTTATTCAGCCACGTGTATAGTAATAACATTATTCATTTGCAATCATTTGGTCATCGGCTTAAAGAATTTAACTGAAAATTGCATTGAATCTATAATTAGTTATAACTAAATATAGCACTATTTGAGCAAATGGATGCTTCTCCAAAACAAAAAATAAATTAACCATAATGAAACAAATGCATTCAGACAAATGAAACAATGCATTCAGAAACAAAACATAAAAAACCTAAGTTAACGGCCTTTTCATGCTGAATATTATAAACAAAACTAAATTAACTTACTGAAAAATAACATTTAAGTTAAATCCATTTTTATAACACTTTTTTCTTCTTTCTCAAAAAGAAAAACAACACATTACAAAACTTAAACAATAGTAAGTTGTCTTCTAACAGCCAAACTGACAAATTTGGACTAGAATTACCTTCAGGGAAGAGTTTTTTCATCAGATTATGTTTGCAGGCATACATGGCTTGTGACAGATCTCTGTATAGTAGGTCATTATTCTTGTCAATAAAACCATCCACTTTATATGTCACCTGAAATTATATTAAACAGTTTCAGAATTTTAGATAAAATCATAAATATAAAACATAAAGATTTCAGGTCCTGAAACCAAAGTGCCTTTGTCACCAGTATAGAACCAGGCCAGCCTGCACATCTATGCAGTCTGACCAGGCTCTACATTATTGGCTATTTAAACTTAAAGCACATTTTTAGTTTTGTGTCAACCTAATGTTTAATGTTTACATTATTATGACAACTTGAAAGCTTTATAAGCACCAGACTGGCCAGACCAGAAGATCCGATTTGTGCATTATATATGGCACCCAATTGCCTCCCTATATAGAAATTCAGGCACAAGTGGGGATTTAAGTAAAACTGGATTTTTCTGATCCATCGTTACCATAAAACTTTGTTTGTCTGCTTTTTAAGGAGAATTCCAGTCATTTTTTGTAATATCTCAACAGTCTGTCAACCTAACAGACTTTCCTGGTTAACTAACCAGTTATTACCAATTCCTCTGTATATAAGTGACTACTAATACAACATTATTTCTTTATCGCCAATGAGAGACAAATAACCATTTGACTAAAAGTTAAAACATTTTCCTCATCAACAGCATATACATATTTTTAAATATCAAAAGAAAATATCAATCAAAACTATTAAAATTATTAAAAAAGTTTACGTTTCCAGCGTAATGTTTAAGTCTGAACGCATCATGAGGCAAGCTTCTGTCTGATTGGTTCTTTCTCAACGCTCGACTCTCGTAGTGCGGATGATCTTTACATGTCGTGTTCATTTTCTCCAGAAACGTCTTATCAGTTACGTTGCCTGGCAACAGACACTGCTCATCTAATATCGCTAGAATTCCTACATTGTTCTGAAAACAGACATGAGGAATGGCTGATTGATGATTAATTGCAAATATATTGATATATGAATCTCTAGAGAACAAAATATGAATAATATTATGATTAATGAGTTGCATACAGTTCAAAGAAATATGAAAAGAAGCAAACATGGAAGAATATATTAGCTAAAGTAAGGGACTATTTTCACTGTGTAATAATGATATTACATCAGAAAAGTAGTCCATATCCATCTGATATCTATGTGTTAAACAAGTCTTTTCAGGAAGTAGAATAAGTTAAAACAATTCTATAAATAAATACTACAACTATTTAGCCTTACATACAACACATGACATACCATTCATGCTTTTACTAAATAAGAGCTAATGTTCAACACCTCAATATATTTTTCTACAATATTGAGCAATTATTCATATTCCAACACAATCTATGGTTTTCCTTTAACATTGATAAAGAAAATCCATTATTACTGCATCTTTCCTCCATCCTGTACAATTTCATTGGACTCAAAACCTATTTTCTAATTGACCTCAAAATATTACTTGGGTTTGATTAGTGTACAATGTGCAATAGAGCTATAACTATGATGCTAAAATGAGTGTATTTTCTGAGATTAAGTAAGATATCTGGGACTAGTTCCGGTCAGTTGTATCTTATAATTATGAAAAAATAAAAATCTAGGCAGTGACATTGCAGTGAGTTTTTCAACAATGGTAAATGATGATCTCTTTGGGAACTGTGTACATGTAGTTAATTCTAGCATAAAATACAAACAACGACAGAAACTCAAACCATTTCCTAACTATCTACAGTTATCATACTTTTATTTGATTATTTTTTTAGCACTTATTTGTTGAAGAATATCAGTCAGGTCCTGTAGAGGAGTAAAGTAATTAATATTTCTGGGTTTTTTTTCTGGACGACCTCAGCAAAATAATTAACAACTTCTCAACAACTAGAACTCCGCGAGTCGGATGTGTCGCCTTGTGAACAATATAGTTTAGGAGAAATGGCCAGGACAAAAATGAAATATGAAAACTAACAAAGGGCAATAACTAAAAAAATAATAAGTGCAGAGCAGCAGTTTCTGTGCACTGCACTTCTTACCAATAAGATCTATCATTCTATGAAGTTTCAAGTCCATATCTTTTATAATTTATGAGAAATAGCCTGGATAAAAATAAAGTATGAAAATTAATAAAGGGTAATAACTCACAAATAAGAAGTGCAGAGTACCGGTTCTTGTACACTGCACTTTATCTTAATGAGATCTATCATCCTATGAAGTTTCATGTCCATAGCTTTCATACTTGAGGAGAAATGACCAGGACAAAAATAAAGTAAGAAAATCAACAAAGGGCAATAACTCAAAAAATAAGAAATGCAGAGTATCAGTTCTTATGCACTGCACTTCTTCTTAATGAGATCTATCATCCTATGAAGTTTCAAGTCCATAGCTTTTATACTTTCGGAGAAATGGCCCAGACAAAAATTAAGTATGAAAATTAACAAAGGGCCAAAACTCAAAAAAATAAGAAATGCAGAGTACCAATTCTTGTGCACTGCACTTCTTCTTAATGAGATCTATCATCCTATGAAGTTTCAAGTCCATAGCTTTTATACTTAAGGAGAAATGGCCCGGACAAAATTAAAGTATGAAAATTAACAAAGGGCAATAACTTAAAAAAAAAAGAAATGCAGAGTACCTGTTCTTGTGCACTGCACTTCTTCTTAATGAGATCTATCATCCTATGAAGTTTCAAGTCCATGGCTTTTATACATTACGTCGCTTGAAAACTGTAATGTTCTATCTCCAAATTTTCCAAAAACAAGTTAAATACACAATTTTGTCCGTAATGGACTGTTCTATCTCCTTGGCATGTTATATTAGTGCTTCAGAGCTTCATAAATAAATTACAACGAAACCATTCTGTTCTATCTCCACAAATTTACTATGTCTTGATAAATATACTGTTCTAACTTACTGGACTAATCATATCATCGATAAATGTCACGTGACCTGTGGGATATATGCAACTTAATGTTCTAAATCCAAAATTATCGTATCAAAACATAGCATCAAATCACGTGATAGCAGGACAGCCGCCATGTTGTACGAAACATTTTGAGTTAGATGGTTTGTTGTTTATTTAATATATTAATACTAATATAAGTATTGAATGATATTATTTATTCATTTATTTCCTCCAATCATTGACATTTTAGTATAAAGTCCTGTAAATTTACTGCATGTGATAAAACAAGCAAAACTGATCATGATTTGAAAGTAATTTCGGATGTGTATTTTCGGATAGAAACAACTGTGATCATACAATTTCATCAAACAAATTCGTAAAAAAGAAAATTTGTTATATGTTCTAAAGTTTCTTTAACGTAAGGTACATTCTGTCTCAGAAACCAATTATTTATCTATATAACAGACACATATGAGTTTAAAAAATTGACTGTACTCATTGCCAATATGAAACAAAAGCATAAGATGGTTTAGGTTACTGACCAATGTGGAATATTTTGGAAACTATAACAGAACACCAAATATCAGGCTTTTGAGATATTAAGATAAAAGCATTTCTGGTGCAAAAAAAGGCCTTTAAGAAAATTTATAGATATAATACGTTTACATATAATATATGTGTTCGAATGCGTTAATGTTATATAACTAATAGATTGCTTTAAAGTAAACACATTTTATACCAAAAACAGAAGGAAGAAAAATATTCTTATACGTATATTTTTTTTGTCTTGTAATTTGACTGCGAATTTCTAAATGAATATTTATATAGCATTATGTTTGTAATGTTTTTGTACACGAACAATCTTTAAATATGACATTTTTCAAATATAAGTCATGCCTGCTCCACCTTTAAGGTCTTTTCTAGCAGATATGTTTTCATTGCCTATTTAAGTTATTACATACCTTCAATTATAAGAACTTCTTACCAACACACAGAACGTGTAAAGCACATAACAAAATAATTACTACTATTTCATACTTTTGGAAGGAATTTGAATATCTTTTGAATTTTCAAAAAAAAAAAAATCTGGAAAGATTTTCCCAGCCTTCTAGAAAATTTGAAAGTTTTCTTTTCCCGTTTGCGGCTATAACTTTCTTTTTCCAGACATTGAATCACTTTGAATGTGGCCAAAGATATAAAAATAGATAAAATGTCTACAAAATTTATGTGGGTATTTTATCTTTATTTATTTAAGTTATTTGTTTAAATGTCATTTAATAATGTAATGGATTTAAGGATTTTAATAAGATTTCGAATGTCGTTAGATACATATGATCTAAGAAATAGTGTAGTGTCAAAGTCAACTAATCAAGGGATAATTAGCAGAGAGCATTTTTGTCAGCCTTTTAAAGATAAAACATACTGTTATATATGATATAAATCAATTCAACTTAAAAGACATAATGTTCTAAGTCACATTGAACACTCTGATTTTAACAATTTTTGAAAAAAAGTTACAAGGACTGTTCTATCTCCAAATGTTTTTTTAGGTTTTTAAGCAAGAAAATATTAAAATCCACTTATCTTTAACGATATTGAGTTGTTCTTCTGACACCACGTTTAGTAGTTTTTAAATTTTCAAAATCCGACAATAAATAAAAAGGTTATGCGATACTAAATCTGTACATGCTTTTTTCTCAAAAACAACAAATTGACACTTAGAACAAAACGTTTTTCAAGCGACGATTAGGAGAAATGGCCATAACAAAAATAAAGTATGAAAATTAACAAAGGGCAATAACTCAAAAATTAGGAAGTGCAGAGTACCGGTTCTTGTGCACTGCACTTTTTCTTAATGAGATCTATCATCCTATGAAGTTTCAAGTCCTTAGCTTTTTTAGTTGAAGAGAAATGGCCCGGACAAAATTAAAGTATGAAAATTAACAAAGGGCAATAACTCAAAATTTAAGAACTGAAGAGTACCGGTCCTTAAGCACTGCACTTCGGGTTATTGAAAGAAGCATGCATACCAAGTTTGAAGTCAATCAGACTTATAGTGACTGAGTTATCCCCCGGACAAGCTTTAGGGGACGCCGACAAGGACGCCGACAATGGGAAGGGTTAACACAAACAGAAATCACACATCTGAAACCTGTACCCCCCTCTCTTGAGTTGACAAGGTGAAATTTAATTTTCTTGATATAAATATGTTGGAAATATGTCTATATATATGAAATAATATGAACTCACATACACCTTTCCCTTGTCTAATTATATGCCAGTTACAAGGTAAAATTTCAAGTTTAAGGGTTTTTGAATCATTTTCTGTTTAAATCATATTACATAAAAACAGTATATATATGCAGTATATTTGTGATAATATAAATAATAAGTTATTATTGTTTACTTTAATAAATATAATAAATTATATATGTATATTTGTGACAATATTGGTGCATATAAATAAATAAATAATGCATATATATGTTTTTCAATTCATTATTATTATTTTAGTTGTATATACTTGTGTTTTGAATATTAAATGTTCCTGGATTATGTAACAGTACTACTCATTCCCTTTTTCCCTGAAATATTTTTGGACTCATTATGTACATGCATCCCACTACCAAAATTAGGTACAAACAAGGTTTTCCCTTCCCAAACATGCTACAGTTTATATAACCAGGTATAGAATGATATTTCTGTCGGCCGCCACAAAAATGTTACAGTTTATAAAATCAGAAAACAAAAAGATATTCCCGCCCGCCGTCACAAACATGCTACAGTTTATCTATGTTGAGATTATTTTCTTTAAATGTATAATTTTGTACCCTATCCAGCATAATGATCCTATACAATATATAATATACAATCGACGATGACCCACATATCTATATATTGTTATACATGTGAAATATATGTCTGGCAATGGAAGTACACTCCACTCACTTACATTTTGTGAAAAAGAAGAACCACTCTGAAATATTTAGTATACATACACAATCTATATAAACTACATAAAGACATCTTAAAAATTTATTTAATTACATGTAATTGGTTAATATCTAAAACCCTGGTCATATTTGTCACGGGACAAGTACTGGATGAATAACAAATTAGTATTTTTTGTAATTTGTTCACATCTGTCCTTATCAGTCTAACATCCTTTACTTCTTTTGTGTTTCAATTCAATGTTTGTTTGGCATCTGTTTACGTCTCATATATTCATTCTGATATTTCCTATTCTCGAATAGACACTCAGACACCTTTTGGACAAAGTTATCTATTGTTCAGGCTCTCATCTTAATGAAAAATTTGACTAAGACTTTATAGAAAATAAATTTCTAATTACCTCCCTTTTATTAACATGAAATGTAAATTCAGTAATATCTTTACAGATAATGCTTTTTGGAACTTACAATATTGATAAATCTTCATTTGAGCATTAAACTTATGATATAAAACCATAAAAAATTAAATTTGCAGCATCTTTAACCAATGGATGAGTTACAGAATAAAGAATTTTGGAATTTTCCTAATCTGTTACTTTTCCAGTAACACATGTTACTTAGGCCTGAACAGTAAGACTAAACATTTACATTTGTTATTGTCTAGATAAATTATAATGTTAAAGGATAAAATGCCTCACAAACCAAACAAAACAGCTATTGTTATCAAATTTACAATACAGAAAACCTATTTTGTTACAAACTAGTAATGGACTACAATTCTTACACAAAAAAAGGTATGCAAAATATATAACACAAGTTAATTAAACAATAATAAAAAGTTAATTTACAACGCTGATGAACCTTGTCATGTAACTCTTTTGAGAGTTACATGCTCTTAAAATCTTTATACTCTTGACTGCTAATTTTTGCTTTTTAAATGTAAAAAGTCGCCTCAAACTATTAATGGACATGTTCCAAATTCAAAGAACAAGTCCATAATACAAAATGAGGTAAGAAAATGGCTAAGTTCAAGAACATTGTTGTACAGCATAGTAGCCTTGATTTATACAAAAGTAAAACAATAAATTCATGTTAAGCAGTTCACATCTTAAGATCCTATCTTGATAAGCTGTAAGTAATCCATGACTTAATGTAACAATAATAATATAGAGAAACCAACAAAGCTGATGTTATTTTACATTTAACCAAATGACATGTACCAAACTAAATGCATTACAATAAAACGGTATGTTATTTCACACTACAGCATATGTATATATCTTTAATAATAATATATATGTCTTCACATACCTTTTCAATAAGATCACATATTACAGCATTGTTGAAATACTGTACATGAATCCACTCTATACCCTGCAATATACATGTAACATTTGATTATTAATTTAGTCTTACCCTGCAGAAACTGGAAACAAGAGGGCCCTTGGGCCCTGGGTCGCTCACCTGAGGCATGGGTGAATGCCTGTATTTAGAGTTTGTGAAGGCAAACATTCTAGTTTCAATTAAACTGGGTAAAAGGTGATCTCAGTTTTACAAAGGTTTCCCAAAGCTCTGATCGGGTGACTTAGTTTCTGAACCTATTTAACTTAGTTTGAAATCTGCACTAGTTTTTGTTGACATAATATGTTGACAAATGGTTAAATGCGTCAATAACATCATAAAAATCTATGTCACAATATTTTGTGACCAATGTCACTGTGTACAAGTGTAAGACAATGGCAAAGACTACAAGTAAATCAACATTTTTTTTTATTATTTATACGAAGACTTGAAATTACAGTGTTAGGTTGAATACAGTCTGAGTGACAAAGATATCTGAAAGAGAAATCTGTAAAATGGTGAAATTTTTAAGAAGAGCTGGTAAGTAAAGCAATGGCTGTTTTTTTTGGTTAGCACCATATTTTATTGTGTAGAGATTCTTTCTGTACAACAGTAGATAATTTTGTGATCTGACCAGTAAGTTTCTACTGTACCCACAGTGGCATCAATATTTGTTATTATCAAGTCTAATGCTGATAGATTATCAGTTGTAGGTTCATTAAGATGTAATTTACAGTTAAGCTTATCATACAAATACTGCAAAAACACCCTATGACAATTTAAAACATCAATATTAAAATCACCCCAGAATAACTAAAGGCTTATGGGTACCAAATGTGGAAAGAGTTTCTCTGTCAGCATAGTGCGAAAAGCAGAATCTGACATTTTTGGTGATTTATACAATACTTACAACTTGCATTTCACTTAATTCTCTTGCAACATTCAGAAGAACAAATTCAAAATTCTGGGAGCTAAAGCGGTCTGCAGATTTTACTGATACATCAGCTTTGACATAAATAAGTAACCCATGTGGAGGTCTTTCAGATGTTGATGCAGTACACTGGTCATTGCGTATTAAATGGTATCCCTGTATCTGATAAGAAGTATCATTATCATTTTCATGTAATCTAGTTTCTGCCAATCCAATAATATCACAAGACAACAATCCTTGATCATGTTTCACATCAATGAAATGCTTGTTTAATGACCTACAATTGTTGAATGCGATTTTAAAATCCATTTTTTGAAAATAAATGTATAGATTCCAAGGGAACATAACACAATTCTAGAGAAGCATCTTTAAGCAATCTCTCCATTTCTGTTTTAACTTTTTCATCAACTTGTAAAGCCTGCTCATTAAAATTGAGAATTTGAAGCTTTTCTAAAGACCGTACTCTACTTAATGCAACGTAATGAAGGTGAGAACTTTTCGTGTTTTTCTTTGGGATAAGTCAATCACGACACTATCAAGTGTTTGTTCCTTGTGCTCTATGAACTGATCTCCCAGCAGAAGGTTGTAATGGAAACTGGATCCTTTCAAAAGTTTTTTTGTTATATGTAAAGGTCCTTGTGATATCAAATGTTGGTGTCCAATTTTCATTTATTTGTTCATGATAAAAGCCTCGACTTTTATATTTTAATCTAGTTTCACAACCAGCTATCAAATCACCAAATTGTACCAAATGATATTATGACATTGTGTTTCCTTCAATTTATACATATGAATTTTATAACACATGGTGCACCATTTGCAAGGCCACCTCCAGTATTTGTATAAACAGTTAAATTATACAACAATATCCAATGAACAATGGTGATGAGCAGTTCTGTTTGGATCAGTGGGCAATCTTTTGAAAGCCTCTTCTTTGTTTATCCTTTGATAATTTTGGTGAAACAACAGAATCATGACAAAGAATGGACACTTTTTGATTGTTTGAACTGTTTAGCAGTGTATCATTGAAAATATGCATGTAATAGTTTTCAGCAAATAGATGTGGGGAGTTTACTTGATAATTCTTAGCACTGGATTCAACTTCACAACCTTTAAGAACCATTTTATCTTCTGTTGTCAGTGAGTTAATTCTCAGCCTGTTTAATAAGTCTGCAAATGGTAAATCTCCCACTGCGATAATGCTTACACCTCCAAATGGTTTGCGAGTGCCTTTTAATTCTTGCAGTCTCTGATTTATGAAGCTCATCATAGTATTACTAACCATTGAAATTTCATCAATTTTCATCAATTATGACAACAGATAAATCTCGATATTTGGATCTGAATGTGTTCAAGCTGTCACATGTTAATGTTTGATCAGACTGTTTGTACTTCTGCTTAAATGCGGACGAAATAGTAGAGCCATTTATATTGAAAGCCGCTTTTCCAGTATATGCACACAAGAGCACCCTTACATCATCAGAGTTTTCTCCTTCTTTCAAATTAAGCATTCTATATAGTAGTGTTTGATACAATGCTCTTATAACAACACTTTTGCCAACACCAGCACCACCAGAAAGAAATGTATATAAAGGTGCATCTTTAGTTTTTATCCAGTGAACAACATGATTGTAAAACTCTTTCTGTTTTGAGTTCAACGAACGCAGAAGAGCTCTGTACTCTTCATCTGATAAAATATTTTCATTAGAACTTATTTGTGCAGATGAAATGGAACAACCAATTTCTATGCCCAATGTCATATTCTCTTTGTTCACTTACTCTATCTGGATTAAAGTAGATAAATGTTTCTGACTCTACTGGTTCTTCTTCAGCAGTTTCTGCTTCTTCTTGCGAGTTCCAGGAGCAAATTCATCATATGCATTGTATTCTTCTTCAGCCATATTTCTTGCTAATTCTAACTCATCAACATGATGTTCATAACATGCACATTTTTCAATTTACAGCATTTTGGACTGATTCATACTTTTCTTTGTGTGTTGCAAAGTGTCCAAGTAAATCTCTCTCTTCATTTCTCCAGGGATAAAAGAGAAGTAGTTTTTCTCTATAATAGTTTTTCTTCATCTGTTTTACGATTAAATCTTACATACCTTATAATTTTTGAATTACGGCGTCTTCTGATTTTTATACCACTTTTCAGTACGCAAATGTTTTGGCAATCATCAAAATATTCATCTCCTGACATTTCATCATGTTTTTCATCATCATTTTGTTCTGAATTACTTATATCTTCCTTATCATCTGGGTAAATCACTTCTAACTGTGACACATAATCAGCTAAGCAATAGTTATCTAAAGCCTTTGGACGTTTTGAATATCTTTTTATGATGTTATCTGACATGATATCAGTTGAGTCTGCAGGCAACTCATCAAGAGCAGACTTTGACTTTAACAATTGTACTCTTTGGTTTGGTACAGAAGTATTTATAAATACAACGTCTCTTGTACTTCTGGTCAAGGGCATTTGCAAAACTAGATAGACTGCTTCCTGTGCACTCACTTCAACACTGTTTGAAAACACATTTCCAATGTGTCTTACTTGCCTTTTTATATCTAGGTTGCCATTTCTTGCTTCCTTTGCAGCAGCATACATAAGATTACTCATACCACGTTGGGATTTTACTTATATATGAAACAATATACATGGCACAAGCATATGGATCCAAGACAAATTGTATGTCAGTATTTGCTTTCCACGCTTTCAATACTACATCATTGTATAAATTTACACGTATCTCATTTGGATTTCTTTTCAAAAACACCTTGGGAGAGTTTAATGAACTTCTAATGCATTTGATATAATCATCCTCATTCATCTGTGCAATATCTGACAAAAATTTCTCAAAAGACATATTGTATCCATGTTTCTGATCATTCATTTTTTTCTGGATTTTTGCATACTGTTTGAGATATTTATCCTTGTCATTTTCAAGAGGAAATAACACCATTGTTTTTTGCAGAGGTGGTAATGGATAACCAAATCGGCATATTCGATCTTGTTTTTTTTCTACACGTTCTTGAATGTTTGTGGATTTGGATGTCTACCAATGCCCCACAAATTCATTGTTAATTGAACATTTTAAGTACTGGTCCACATATGCTGCTATCTCTTCAATTGAGTCTACATTTAATTTTGGAGCATTTTCAACCCACACAATCATATGAATATGCGGAGATCCACGTTGTTGGAATTCAACTCTATAAAAATAATCTGTCACTTTACCTAATGGATTATGATCACTTTTAAGAACAATATTTATAAACTCTTGAACTCTATGGTCAAAAAACCTTGAACAAGTAACTGGATCTGACTGAATCATTTTTATCTTTTGCTCCCAAGTTAGGTTTTCTATTTGTTCATCGCTGTACTTATCTTTTTGATTTAGATTTGCAAGGATTTTAAGAAGATCTGTCCATCTGGTATCAGCAGAAGACAAGGACATAAACCAAGTTGGTATACCTAACTGTCTTAGCATTGCATAAACATCTTTCTTTCTGGATTCTAAGTAAGCTGGACTGTTTCTCAGCTGTTTGAACAAATAGTAACCTTGATCATTCTTTACAATTGTATCCATGCATTCCCCATTTCTTGCCTGGGCAGCAGTTAATTTGTTTGAACCAGTCTGAATTCTTCTAACAGCTAAATTTGACTTGTCATTTAATTGCTTCATCTGTATTTTTTTTAACTTAAAAAATATGTTAGGCACACTGTTTGCTGCACGTCTATCTTGACTTCGAAGTTCCCACTTAGCAATGTCACTATAATTAACTGGTACTTTTCTGTGTTCATTATCAATTCGCCTTTGACCGCAAAATATGCTAGGGAAACACAGATACTCTGAATCTTTATCTTGAAAAATACTAAGTGGTCGCTGACCCTCACCAGGTGCAAATGTAAAAGTAGCATGTCTGTTTTCAATATCTGCATCATCTAAAAGAGTGTCAATATTTCCAACATTTTCATTAGTAACTTCTTCAGCATCAGAGTCATACAAATCTTCTAGTGCTGAATGAGAACTTTTATTTTCAGCATTCTTTACTTTTGCACAGTCAATAACTTCACCAACACAGTCTTCAAAGTCAA